TGGGGGGGGGGGGGTCTCCTACTCTATATCCCACGCCAACGCGTACAAATCTGGCATTCATATACCATCACTTATTATTCAGGACTCACGCGAGCGCGAGATGTACAAAAGCCTCGGAGCCGATTAGCAGCAGCAAGGTCGTGGCTGACGCGCTCTCCGTTGTATCGAGCAAACACGCTACGATAATGGCAAAAATCCTTTCTTTTCCTCCCGGCTTGACCTTACGATAGAGTATAGTTCAAGGTTTAGGCGAAGAGGTACAACCAACCCTTCCAGCACGACGAACCTCCCCTCTCCCCGTCGTTTCCACCATGCCCATTACACCGTTCTTCCCTCACCGTCACCACACCATTCGTCTGCTACCGACAACATAAAAAAAAAAAGTCCGTTGGCTTTACTTCTCTCCTTCCCGTCTCTACCGCAAGAGTAGTAGTAAAGTGTCGCAAAATTGATCGTCGCACCGCCGTGCGTGTGCAAAAGTACCATCCATCAAGAGCTGTCGCCGGGCACTCGCCGCGTATGAATGTACATGTACGTATGTGTTTCTCCGTCATCTACCCGCCCGACATGAACCCGTACTCTTCCTGGGGCATCTACACAAAGCTCATGTTTCATCGCGCGGCAAAAGGTAGACCGACGACGGTTGGTTCCAACCATCTCGCCAACCTTCGTGTCGATTCAAAAACGTGCTATACACAACAAGCGTCCCGAATACTAAAAAAAAAAAAAAAAAGTGGGTGTCTTTCGTTTATCTACAACACGACGCAATGATCCTATAGTTGGAAAACGGCCGGCGTCGTCATATCCTTCGTCCCATCATCTCACATCTCACACCCACTCATCATGCGTTCGCCCTTTGCGTGTAACGTGCAAAACATGCACATCCTGCAAATCGCATCGTTAGAAACGCACTCCTACCTCTCCAACAGTGCTGCCGGGCGGGGTGCTCTTTTAACAATCTCTGTCAGACCACGCCGCCAACGGTCTACTGCTTCGGGCGGATCGCACAGACAGCTTTTTTTCCTTTGGACAATACAAGCAGTTTTTCAAGAAACAACACCACCATCATGCACATCCACGACGAAAACAAAAGACAGACACCAACAGGGAGAGAAGTAGGCTACGGTCGCAACTATCGCCACTACCGCCGGAACTTCGCAACAACCCTCTATCCCCCGGGTTGTTTCTGTTCGGCCCGACCAAGCGTAACTGCCAACAGCGCTACCAAGCAAGACAAGAAACTATGGCGCGATACGTGTCCCCAACAACAGCCCGCGCTCCCCGCAATATACACGACTTCGTCCAATCAAGTCCATTCCACGCCCTCTAATCCCGACGGCATGGTCCATTCCATACGCATTCAGCGAGCCTCCCTCCGCCCGCCGCCGCCGCCGCCGCCGCCAAAAACAAAACAACTACAAAGAAACGAAAATTCAAAATCGTACCCCGAGCAGGGACAAAGCAGGCAGTGAGCGAGGGAGTTTCCTCCGTGCCAGCGCTGTTGATGGTGCCGCCCTTCAGCGGTCGTGTCCACGCGACCGGCGGTCTTGTCGCCTGGACGTGGCACCCTGTTGTACCCCCCACGATGAAGGGAGGGCCCCAGGGTACCACCTTTTGCATCATGTCGAAAACCGTGTCGCTCGAATCCCCCCCCCCACCCCCACCCCCCCGCGCACCACGCCCAATCAGCCCATGGCATGCCTGGTTTGGCACAGCAAAAGCAAGGACAATGACCAGTTCTGCATCCTTGGGAAACGTAGCCTGGGCTGGCGAAAAAAAAACGGCATATCGCTCCGTCCCGGCATGGTAGGGATGCGAGGTCAACGGCCTAGCGACTACGGCATGCGCTTAAATGAGTACACCTCCTCAAGTGAAGGCAGGCTTCTTCCTCCTCCCCTTCCCCGCTCCGTGCCGGAAAGCCGAAAGGGAGACAGCAGCCCTCCATGCTATTCTTAAGCAGGACAGCGTCGATTTCTACCATCCCCGTCCTTCACAAAAAAAAAAAAAAAGCTGACAGCAGTGCATGTTGACACGCTGACTCTAGTTCTTCCGTCGAAACACCTCAACCCCGTCCCCGACGCCCACCCCACCGCACCCGCTGAATTCTGACCCCGTCCAGCTCCGCCGCCCCCGCCGCCCAGCGGGCCACATTCGCTTTTTCTGGCGAGGAAAGGGCAACCTCGAAAGAAGAAAGGAAGAACAAAATCGCCCGAAAGGCTTTGCCGCGACGAGGGCAAATTTTGTAAGGAGGACGCACTTTGTGTACTCTCGTCGTCAAGTGTGCAGCAAACCAAAAATGCACACGTCCGGCAACAAGCACAAAGCAACAAGAAACCGAAACACGTAAGTGTCCAAAAAAGTTCAAAAGTAAGTCGAGAGAAGAACCAATCAAGAGCGCAGACGCACGCACGTACTGAGTAAGTCGCTTCACCTTGCTGATGGCACGGTTCTCTTCTCCGCAAAACCTGTCTCGCCGTTTCTCACGTCGCAGGGAGAGGCAACACTAAAAAATAAATAAAAAAAAGAACATCTACTCTAACTTGCTAGTGTACTTGAAGAAACCGCATGCCCCCGTTCCCCCTCCATACCCAAAGGTTTCTTGAACTCAGGTAAAGTGCGTTATGAACAAGTTTTTGGCCACAGGACGCAGAATAGTAACGTCGCTATCGCCGCCCATAAAAAATCTCGCGTGCCAGCTCAAGCGTAAGCGCCGTTCACCAACAAGTCGCTACGATGTCTAGATTGCAAATGAAGCAAACAAAAACTTTTTTTCGCCTACCCAAAGAAAACGCACACGTTCATACACAGCTCGCAAAATCGTACATGAAGAAGCCAAGACACAAACAAACAAACACACACAAACACCAGGCCCTGTGAGGGCTGCAATGCCAGTTGACCGCCCGCATCGCGAAAGACCGAGAATGCAAGCACGTTTAGGGATGTTTTCGCAGAAAAACAAACAAAAGAAAACGAAGCCGGACCCGGCAGTGTTTTCATCTTCTAATCTCGCTCCCCCCCCCCCCCACCGTGTTAAAAACCCCCCCGCCCCTGTTTCCCCCCCAAAACAAAAAAAAAAAAACCCACCCCCAATACAAATTGGGAAAAACCCCCCAGGGAATCCCGGGGAAAACGCACAGATTCATATTATACAATTAAATCCCTCCGGGGGGGGGCGAAAAATATTTCCCCCCCCCCCCCCCCCGAAACTTCCTCCCCCGGGGGGGGAAAGGACCCA